GTGTTCGCCATTTGCATGCTAAACGCATTAATAGCCTAATTTGGACACTTCAAGGAGTTGCTAATTATGTGCAATTAGTTCGGGAGTAGCTGTTGCCTGTTGGACCGACGAAAGGGAGAGTAAATGGCTTGAATGGACAATTGGACAGTAACTAAGTATCGACATAGTAACTATGCTAGTATTAACTAGTACTAGAATAAATTTTATTTTGTTGCTATTGACAAACGTAGTGTACAGTGCGCGAGGCGTAAGTTCAATTTTAAATTTTACCAAAAGTAACAGTTTTACAAAAGTAAAAGTGACAGATGCGCGACGGACTTGCGATAAACTGTCACTCCTAAACTATTCATGTGCACTCGCACAACTGCTAATCGAAAATATACTTTGGTTGTCTTTAAATGTAACATAACTAAGAAAAATCGGTTAATTGTGTACCGTTGTTGTTATTCATAACAGTTTGAAACTTCAGATTTGAATAAGTTAATAGCTTAGGAATGTAGTTTTTAAAGTATTAAACTACTTTTTTTACTGACACAGTCCTCGATATAGTTTGAAATTGCTAATATAATAGAGCGATACCCCGCCTCTACTGTCACACTGTGCAGTATACTGCATTAAATTATGTCGCTCACACTTTGCGCCAACCCCACCGTTAATTTTGCATAATTTTCACTTTATTAATGTAAGTTTTCGACTACAGTTTTATTAGTGATACTCATATATATGAGTTATAATAGCTCTATAGAAGCTTTATTAGTCGCCGCTAGAAATCATGAAGTTAATATTCAAGCAACATACATGTTATAGAGCAACAATTACGAGCTGTCAAACGAAACAGATTTTAGGATGTCACTAGATGTCATTTGTGTGACCGTTTTCAGGATTATTTCACTGTTTTGTACAATAATCAATCGCTGAACCAGTCACCACGTTTTTGAAGCACGATTTCTCATAAACATCTACGATTTATATCACTTAAAATTTGAAAAAATCTCAGAGCCTAAATTTTTTAGCGTGCCAATAAGTGCTAACGAATTGTCAAATACTTGCAAAAAACGGTGCTGTTACGTCGCATCACGCATCTCTTTTTATCACACAGTGTTGCTGCTAGTGACATCTCGTTCGCTCAGTTCTTTGTTGCTCTATTTTGCTAGGTATAATTAATAACTTTATGCTAGAAATCTAGAAAGTTAAGGTAGAAAATAATTAAGGTCTTCATTAAGTATGTAAAACATACTTTTTCAGCAAAAAATTGATATTTTCACTAATGAGCAACTTTGGGAAGTTTCGGTGAGAAATTATCTTAAAGAGCGTTTACGCGAAGCGCGGCGTTTCAAGGGGCATCATTGGAAATGATTCGCGCGCGGCGTTTTTTAATAGTTTCCAAATGTTTATAGCAAAACAATAACAATGAATTAAATATCGTTTCAAAGTAAATATTTTAAAGAAGATGTTGTTTTATTATATTAAGCTATTTTTATGTTGAATAAAGAAAGAATATTGGTGAAAAAATCACTTTGATTTTTGGTTATTTCACGTTCTTTTAATTTGTGATTTCTTATTGTAAAATGCTTAAATCTAAAAATTTTCTCAGATAACTATTTGCCCAAGGATCTATGCTATAGGACATAAATGTTTGTTAAATCGTTTTCACAGTATTTTTATAAAAATTTCAGCTTGTAAACTGACGCTAAAGTGGAAATTTACAAAACCTGTGTGGACTTATCTTGATAGAATTCTTAAATACTAAACTAATCGCAATATTTTCTCAATTAACTATTTAGACGACGAAATTGCCTAACTATTTATGCCCATAACATATTTGTAGTATTACTGGTTAATGGTTGTAACGAGTTGAAAAAGTACTGTTTTTGCGCCAAACGGCGTAAACGCTCCTAAGCAATGTTTAGTTTATACTTCTAGGTGATGAAAATTAGTGTTTACGTTAAAGAATTAGGTCATAATGATGTGTTAATTTATGATAAGAAGATAATGATCTTGGTTTGAAATAGGCAAATATGTTGCAAAATTATTGTCAGCCTAGATTGTTCATAATTGCACGTCAGAATTTTGGTACATATTCTGTTTCCTATGTATTTCTGTTATTTATAAGCCTTCAGTAACTCTATATCGATTAATTTAGGCGTTTTATCATTTGATTTTATATGATGACAGACGGCTATTTGCCAATGACGATGTGCCAAGAAGATGGCGCCATGATTGGGTAGCAGTCATTGGTTATGGCTATAATGATTTTGGGGGAGGCCTTTACCCAGCAGTGGGATGGTGTAGCTTAATTTAAAAAAAAATCGGACTATTTGGACTAACGCCTGCCTTTACTGGTTGAGTTGGGGTCTATTTATTGACCCCCAACAAAACTCAACTGACTGACTGTAGATTCTGGCTACACAGGAGTTGCTTCGGTGGAAACAAGATGTTTAGTTCCATTATTGTTATTTTCGTAGTGGCATTTGATAAGACATCGTAGTAACCCAATTTACCACTCGTGAATATAATATGTAGTTTCCCAGTGTCNAACCAAACCGAACAGAAAAATCTGCCCCCACTGGGAATCGAACCCGGGACCTCTGCGTCTGAAGCAGGTGGTCTAACCACTAGACCACAGAGGCGGCAGTTTATTGCAGTTTACATTACTGGCCCATTTATTGTCCTGAAGCAGTGGTAGGGTTAATACTGGGCCGTGTAAAAGTGCTTTTTTTTAAGCCTATTTACAGAAATAAATGAGTTTTTTGAATTTTTTTATTCAATACATAGTCCCTTTACAGGGCACTTATATTAAATAGTATTAAGTGAATAATAAGTATTAGTATTAACTAGAATACATTTTATTCTGTGGTACTTATCGGCAAATGAACAAGTAGTGTACTTTGGTTTTCTCCAAATCTATAGGTACTAATATTGTAAAGCTGAAGAGTTACTTTGTTTGCTTGAACGCGCTAATCTCAGGAAAAAATATTTTTGTGTTGGATAGTCCAATTATCGAGGAAGGCTTTAGGCTATATTATAAGATCATCCTATAGCCAATAGAAGCGGAGCAGTAAAGAACAAAAATCGGTTGAGTGTGTGTCGTTGTTGTTGTGATTCACAACGGTTTTAAAATTTTGATATGACTAAGTTCATAGCTTAGGAATGTAGTTACTTTTATAAGTACATACCATGCAATACCTACCTTTTTATGTCACAGTACTCAAGACGATGTAATTTTAAAATTGCTAATATTATTATAATGGAGCGATACCCCGTTTCTACTGTCACACTGTGCAGTATACTGCATTAAATTATGTCGTTCACACTTTGCGCCAACCCCACCGTTAATTTTGCATAATTTTCACTTTATTAATGTAAGTTTTCAACTACAGTGTTATTAGTGATGTATATTGAGTTTATAATATCTGTATAGAAGCTTTATTAGTCGCCGCTAGAAATCATGAAGTTAATATTCAAGCAACATACATGTTATAGAGCAACAATCACGAGCTGTTAAACGAAACAGATTTTAGGATGTCACTGGATGTCATTTGTGTGACAGTTTTCAGGATTATTTCACTGTTTTGTACAATAATCAATCACTGAACCAGTCACCATGTTTCTGAAGCATTACTTCTCATAAACATCCACAATATCACTCACGTAAAATTTTGAAAAAAATCTCCCAGCTTAAAATTTTAGCGTACCAATGAGTGCTAACGAACTGTCAAATAGTTGCAAAAAATGGTTTTGTTACGACGCATCTCTTTCTATCACACAGTGTTGCTGCTAGTGACATCTCGCTCGCTCAGTACTTAGTCGCTCTATTTTGCTAGGTATAATTAATAACTTTATGCTAGAAACCTACAAAGTTAAGGTAGAAAATAATTAAGGCCTTCATTATGTAAAACATACTTTTTGAGCAAAAATTTGATATTTTCACTAATGAGTAACACTAAAAAGTTTTGGGAAGAAATTATCTTTAGGCAATGTTTAGTTTAGGCTTTTAGTTGATGAAAATTTGTGTTTACCTACGTTAAAATATTAGGATTATTAGGTCATGATGATGTATATTCATTTATGATTAGAAGATAAATAATAAATAAAATAATGATCTCGGTTTGAAATAGGCAATTAATATGTTGCAAAATTAATGTCAGCCTAGATTGTTCATAATTGCACGTCAGAATTTTGGTACATATTTTGTTTCTTATGTATTTCTGTTATTTATAAGCCTTCAGTAACTTTATATCGATTAATTTAGGCGTTTTATCATTTGCTTTTATATGATGACAGACGGCTATTTGGCAATGACGATGTGCCAAGAAGATGGCGCCATGATTGGGCCAGAGTATAGATGACCCACGCTGAACTGTCCCGCCAAACTCAATGACAGGGGGGCGCTACCATCGTTCAACTTTATGGTTTCCAACATGGCAAAAATCGGAACCAGCGATTCGGTATTGACGGTGGCGCCCCGCTGTCAATGTCATCGATAGGACAGTTCAGTATTTTGGAACTATAGCAGTCATTGGTTATGGCTATACGTCATGCTCCCCAGCAACCCCTATGACTGTTATAACATTTTTTTTAATCAACGCGATTGTGCACAATAATATACCTTTAAAAAAATGTGCCTTTGTACAATGTACAGTTATTTCTATTTGGGGCTGCTGTAGAGCATCTAATGATTTTGGGAGAGGCCTTTACCCAGCAGTGGGATGGTGTAGCTTAATTTTAAAATAATCTATTTGGACAAACGCCTGCCTTTACTATTTATTGACCTCAACAAAACTCAATTAACTGACTGTAGATCCTGGTTACACAAGAGTTGCTTCGGTGGAAACAAGATGTTTAGTTCCATTATTGTTATTTTCGTAGTGGCATTTGATAAGACATCGTAGTAACCCAATTTACCACTCGTGAATATAATATGTAGTTTTCCAGTGTCTTGGAACCACTCTAAGAATAAAAGCAACTTAAAAATTATGCAATAACTGTAACAGACTTACCACAGAAGCGAATAACAAACTCAAAAGGAGTTTCGCCGCCATGCTGTCAGAAGTTCCTCGTTGTCATATTAGCAGGCTAAGTCGACTTCATCTGGAACAATCGAGAATAGTGCTTATTACAAAGATGGTAAAGAGTATTATAGGATTTCACTAATGTAAAGTAACACATTTATAAAGGTGTGTTACACATCAAGCCATCGAAAGCCGGCGGCTTGGTGTCGCCGGCATTATTTCACAAGAATCATGTCGACGATTTGTACTTTTTATGACTTTTGACATGCTGTCAAAATAAAAGACAACATGTAGAATGCACAACAGTCAATAGTTCTTCTCAATAATTTTTAGCTATTATTAGTCATAACCAGGGATGTTATGGATATTCTTAACCGTAACTGAAACCTTCGGATAACTGAAATAAAAAAAAATCCGAAGCCGTAACTGATTCAAAACTTTCGGATAATTTCGGATGTTGACAGTTTAAATTGTTTTTTGTGTAGCATTATATCCAAAACATCCCTAGTCCTAACATAATATTCCATTAGTCCAACATAAATAGTTCACAGTAGTATGATAGATATCAATTTTTTTTATTCATGACAAGGCAGATATTTGACCGCAATCGCACCTGGAGAGATGCGATCTAGGATGGTACAGTAAATGTACCTACTAGGTAATAAGCACAAGTAAATGCTGAAACAGTAGATTATACATACTACAAAAATCTTTATAAAAATTCCACGAAAAACTTAAGAATCGAATCGAAATCTGTATTACCATAACAGCTTTACCAAAACCCTAAAAACTGGGAACCCAAAACAAAAAGCATTTCCACTATCCTTTTCTTGGCTGGATTTTTGCGAACCCACAACCAAATAGGTTGTTTGCACTCAACAAAAACACAGCGGAATAATAAAAAGTTTACCGACAGCTATTCCAATCCGGCGCCAATATACATACATTTTAGTCCTACAATAAAGTATTTTCACCCTAAAGGTCCGGCCAAATCAACGCGATCACACGCGATCAGCCGGCGTGCAGCGATGGCGACCAATGCATTTAAGGCGGTTATCACACTGCGCCGCGCTCCGCCGCGTGATTTTCATATAAAAAAATCACGCGTGCGGACGCGTTGTCAGTGTGAAGTGCCGCGCGTGTTTTCTATACAAACTGAGGTACTTGCATACAATGATTAAATCTGTCGCCCCGCGCTCCGCGGCGGAGCGCGGTGCAGTGTGATAACCGTCTAAGTCTGATCACCATTGCTGCACGCCGGCTGATCGCTTGTGATCGCGTTGGTTTGACTGAACCTTAAGCCTCGGCCAAACCAACGCGTGCAGCTGCGAACGTAATCGGGACTATTCCCACCTCTAGTTCCCACCGCTGCAACTCCTGTGTAGCCAGGATCTACAGCTTGACCGCCAATAAAAACCCAACCAGTGAAGGTCAAGTTTGTCCCGGGGGAAAGTTAAACTGGTATTGGACCCGCAACGAAATTAATCAGAAGAACATAGGAGGAGTTCGACTTGATGTCGTGTATGGATTTGTAGCGATGAGTTCACATCAACGCGTCCTGTCATTGGTCGCGGCGATCTATGCACGCGCAGTGATCGCCATTGCTATCGCTGACGCCAGCTGCACGCGTTGGTTTGGCCGTAGCTTAACCTAGTTTCCTATCAAAGAGTGTGAGCACAGAAGGCTGCGGCTTTGAAAGTTGGTAAAATACCTATTTTATTGCTCTTTTGTGTAGGCGTATTGGACGAGCGAATGCTTGTTAAAGTTAGGAACTTTAACATTGTCGAAGAATAATTAACACTGAAAGAAGAGGTTAAGTTGATACCTGATCAGAGTAGATTACAGAAGAGAAAATCTTACTAACGTAACGTAATCTCGGTTTGCTTGTAACGTACCTACGACTATGTAGCGTAATATAATGATAGATAGCATGATTTTAGAAAAAATTGTAGAGAATGACTTGGATTATTTTTATTCTATCACATAGCCATAAAGTCATTGCCACAGTGTAGTGTGGAGAATATTGCATTCTACCAGACATCAACCTAAGTATCTGTCCAGGCACACACTCCCCGTATGCCAAATTCTCCATTTTCCTTATCATCATTACAGCTGCAGGACCCACAAGGTAGAGAGAAGACCTTATAAAGATTGCTAAAAGGCGCTGAATATCTGGAAGTTGTAATATTTATACAGAGTGATTTTGTTATCAGTATTCATTTTAATAAGCTCTATACAGTGTGAGTCACGTTAAAGTGTACATATGAAAACAGATAAAACTAGACCTATTTTTATCGACAAAAACGAGGTCAAAAATTTTTTGAGATTTTTTTTTATTTTTTTATAAAATTTTTTTTCTTCCAATTACTTATTATAAAAAAAANGGATTTTCATATAAAAAAATCACGCGTGCGGACGCGTTGTCAGTGTGAAGTGCCGCGCGTGTTTTCTATACAAACTGAGGTACTTGCATACAATGATTAAATCTGTCGCCCCGCGCTCCGCGGCGGAGCGCGGTGCACTGTGATAACCGCCAAAGTCTGATCACCATCGCTGCACGCCGGCTGATCGCTTGTGATCGCGTTGGTTTGACTGAACCTTAAGGCTCGGCCAAACCAACGCGTGCAGCTTGACCGCCAATAAAACCCTACCAGTGGAGGCCGAGTTTGTCCCGGGGTAAAGTTAAACTGGCATTGGACCCGCAACGAAATTAATCAGAAGAACATAGAGGAGTTCGAAGTTAAGGTTCGACTTGGATTTGTAGCGATGAGCTGTTCACAATAAACGCGTACTGTCAATGGTCGCGGCGATCTATGCACGCACAGTGATCGCCATCGCTATCGCTGACGCGAACTGCACGCGTTGGTTTGGCCGTAGCTTAACCTAGTTTCCTATCAAAGAGTGTAAGCGCAGAAGGCTGCGGCTTTGAAAGTTGGTAAAATGCCTATTTTATTGCTCTTTTGTGTGGGCGTATTGGACGAGCGAACGCTTGTTAAAGTTGAGAAGTTTAACGTTGTCGAAGAATAATTAAAGCTGAAAGAGGTTAGGTTGATACTTGTAACCTGGTAGGAGTAGATTACAGAAGAGAAAATCCTACTAACGTAACGTGATCTCAATTTGCTTGTAACGTACCTACCTACGACTATGCTAGCTAGCATGATTTTAAATGAAATTGTAGAGAATGACTTGGATTATTTTTATTTTATCACATAGTCATGAAGATAAGTCATTGCCATAGTGTAGTGTGGAAGTGTGGCGACATCTACGATACGCCACTACAAACGTGTACCAACAGATGGCGCTGTTACGACTGCACTATGGCACACTCCGCCGCTCATACAAACCTGCATCGCGGTGACGGAGTTTTCTACCCTGCCAAGTACATATAGACAAACCAAGATGGTGTAAATTGGACCTTGGTCCCCGAGCATAACACCCGCTCGGAAGGAAGCACTAACATCTAGCTTCCTTATTGTGGTTGAGCATCATATCCCACAGAAGATAGTAAGGTATTCCATTATACCAGTCCTGAACCTAAGTATCTGTCCAGGCATACACTCCCCGTATGCCAAATTCTCCATTTTCCTTATCATCACTTCACCTACAAGACCCACAAGGTAGACAGAAGACCTTATAAAGATTGCTAAAAGGCGCTGAATATATCGAAGTTGTAATATTTATACATGGTGATTTTGTTATCAGTATTCATTTTAATAAGCTCTATATTTAACAATACAACTTTATCTTAATTATTTTTTATCGCGGTGTTTTTCGCGGAAAAAAATATTGAAAACCTAATTCGCGGGTGCCCATTTCTTAATTTTTAAAGGTTAAAGCTTATTTTCACATGCAATTTTTCTATGAACGAAACAAATTTTATCCACCTGAGCCAATTTTAAAACGGCGCGCAGCGGATAAAAATAATTAAATCGATTAAGTTGCTGATTCTGAGTCGCTCCTAAAAATATTGGATACTGATTGCAAAGTCACCCTGTAGGTATTATGGAGCTAATTTGAAAAAAAAAATAGTTTGTAGTACTGTCAACTATGCCAAAGATATCCACCAAAGTACAAGTATTCAACTGCATAAAGTTCCACAGCTTAATTCGCCATTTGTACCTACTTACTATGCTTTCAGCACCCCGTTACAACCTTATCTAATCGGCAGATCGCTCATGGCCGCCCCAAATAACTCCGAACACAGGTTTTGGTGGACTAAATGAGGAATAAACAATGGAAAAATGATTCTGTTACACAGTTCTGGGGGAAAAGTACTTAATAATTTTCATTACTAATTGAAGCAATGAAAAGTAGATTTTAAAATTATTTCATGACTGTATGTGAGTGAATATAAATAATCGTAATTTACCAAGTTATTAAAATTTGATGTGAAATAAATTGTTAAATTTTTCTGGTAGATCAGAAACAAAAAGGTTTTGAACTATCAAGAAAATATACTTAATCGTGTTTGGTTACTTCATCATCATCATTTCAGCCACAGGACGTCCACTGCTGAACATAGGCCTCCCCCAATGACTTCTACATCGCACGGTTGGTAGCGGCCTGCATCCAGCGCCTTCATGCTACCTTTATCTGTTCGTCGGTCTACCTTGTGGGTGGACGTATCACGATGCATTTTCCGGTACGTGGCCTCCACTCCAGAACCTTACTGCTCCATCGGCCGTCAGTTCTGCGTACTATTATGTGCCCTGCCCATTGCCACTTTAGCTTGCTAATCCGTCGATTTGGTTACTTCGTTCGTTCGTTTTAGCCAAATGACGTCCATTGCTGGACAAAGGCCTCCCCCAAGGTTTTCCACAATTAACGGTCCTGGGCACATAGCTCGTAGAGATGATGGCTGTTGCGGCAGGAAAGTTCTCGAGTGGCGACCACGGGCTGGAAGACGTAGCGTGGGCAGGCCTCCTACTAGGTGGACCGACGATCTGGTAAAGGTTAGACCGTTCATTGGTTACTTATAAACAATAATTGCATTTGTTTTTATTGTTACAAATTATAATGTCTTTTTAGAAAAAAAAGTAAAATAATCTTATGGAGTTTTAAATCATCACAGTT